AACCTTTCTTGATTGCACACCGGAGGTTAGCCCACTCCTGATTTTCCGCAAATATCCTCTCAATTTTAGGTGGGATATTTCTCGGGATGTTACGGTACGCAAGACGAGTTGGCTCATGATGAGATTTTGTAGAGCCCCGAACTGCTGTGGTGAAAAAAAAACAAGACAATTGACCATGGCTCATGCTTTATATTTATTACCGCTGCCACATATATTTACAGTAATTTTAGCACCAACAATAGCATACAAATATTAAACCACCTCCCATTTGAAAACAACTTCCTTGCCGTTGTACAAGTCCAGAGCACAGTGTAGGGTGTCGTCCTCCTCAGCCTCCACGAGTTTTCGGTGGCTAGACCTACCCACATTGTAGCAGAACCTGTGTCTGTCAAACCCTTCATTGGTCAATGTCTCAACCAAGATTAGCAGTCTGCCTGAGGCAACATACAGAGCCTCAACTCTCCAAAATTCTGGCCCATCATTCTGTGCAGCTCTGACAAGAATGTCACCACACCTGTAGCTGCGGTGGTCCACTGCTGCATGTGTCACCTGGTGTGCATCCAATGGTAGCACACCCTGAGCACAGGCCGGCAGGGCATTCTGCTCGACCGGTTTGCCAGACGAGGCCACGAGTTCAGCGGCCAACGACATATCCTTCAGCTGGTGGCTTTGCAGCAGTTGATGTCGTTTCGACAACGTCAGTGTCACATTCCGAAAGTTTTTGATACGCGAGGCAAGGCTCTTGAGGTATTGGTGCTTAGCCTCAAACCGCATGGACCAGAACTGTGGCAGTGGTCCAACTTCACGGATGAACCTTGCATAGTGAACAAGAAAATGCAGCTTGGGAATTATAGCTGCAGTTCCGTATCGCTCTGCGAACGCCACAAGAAAAGCCTGCACAGCCGTTTCCAGGTAGGGAAGGTATTCACTGGGAATGACTGTTGCAAAGCAGATGTCTACAATTTCACGGAACTGAAGGTATAATTCCCAGTCAGCATTCTCTTCTGGCACCAGGTCACCAAGGATTATGCTCATGAGCCTGAGAAGACACCACTTCTCAGTTGCGGTGCCTTTCAGGCTTGCTTTGCGAGTCAAGAAGGACCTGTTAATCGCAACAGGTTTGTTTTTGCTGTCGTTTGCCCCATACTGAAACGAAGTGATGCGGTCCAAATCACTGTACGACAATACATCATCCTCGATGAGCGCATTTAGAACCGGCCGAAGCACACACTCAAAGCCCCCTTCCAAAATGTCGTGCATGAGGTCTGGGGGAAGTTGTCGCGTCACATCAAAATATGGCACTTCCAGCATGGGAGAGCGTTCATTCACGCCATACAGTTTCTTGTTGGCCTTGGGGTTGAGAGAGACGGCCTGCAGGTGTCCCTCATGGGCCTGAGCTGTACGTATAGTACAAAAGTCCTCTGTGGTTAGCTCTGGCAGACGTTTAGAAGATGCCATACAGATGCGGCACACCCTGCCTCGACTAAAGCAGCACGTGAATCCTCCAAGTCGATTCATGGAAAGGTTGTCACCGCAAACACAAAACACGAAGACCTGTGCATTCTGTACTTGCCCTCTGTCAATGAACCTCACTCCACACATTCCTAGTTCGTTGATATCCTCAATCAACGGGCTCAGAACCTTCTCCAGGCCATAGGTCTGGACGTCATCATACTTGGCAAGAAGCACCAAGTGAATAAATCTCAGCTGGGACCTGTGTTTCGCATGGAGGTTTAGCAGGGTAAAATAAACTGCCAGCAGTTTATGCACCCCACGCTTTGCCCCTAATGGGTTGCAAATTTCAACCTCGTCACTGTACAGCAGGATGAAGATGGTGTACTGGGTGCCATCGGGGATGAGGTCCTTGATGCTTTGGAACAGAAGACCATCCGTGTAGTCTCTGTACACCTTAGGGTCGTCGCAGCGCGCTTGTCGTGTCATGAGCTGGGCAGCAATGTCGGGCACCTCGCAGAGCTTTTCAAGGACTCTTGGTAGTGGCACATAGTGATATTTGTCACCATGGGAACCGAGTTCACACTTCCTTGGTTCTACATAGGGGGAATGTGCTTTGGCATACTGCTCCCGCAGATGTCTGCTCTGGATTCCTTTGAAGAGGTCCGGCAGGAACGAACATCTGAGCAGCGAGAGCACATCGGGAGACATGGCGGACAGATCAAGCTTGGATGCCATTTCGGTCCACTGCGTATGAGGCAGACATCTTCCCACTAAGCTACGCCACAGCTTGGATGAACTCGTTTTTACAATCACAGTGTCTAGCTTTACGTCTGACGGAACCCAAAATAAAAATTAAAGTTACATCCGACGGTACCCAAAATGAAAATTAAATTTATGTCTGACGGAACTTGACATAAAATTGGTTACGTCCTATGTAACCTATGCAACCTAGGTTTCGCTTTACATATGATACCATGATATAAATACAAAAGAAATGTGAATTATTACTGCATTACATCCAATGCAGCATTCGTAAATTGGATAAAATCTACCTCTATTCGTACCTCCAGATTTGTTGAGGGGGCTGGGGCACTGGTCTCAATGACAATTGCTGGATTGCGCTTCCCGCTCCTGCAAGTGAGGTTACCGGACGGCCATCCTGCCGGGAGACGATTTGCGGTTTTGGTAGCGTTCCGCTGTGGTTTTCCAGCATGCTATAGACACGTTTTCTACTCGTTCGTTGTCGTTCGCCAAAGAAGTTTTTTAAGACCCTGTGTACCGTTGAGACTTGCCATTGTGAACACGTGGAAAATTTTACGGAAGCGCAGTGCAGCAGGAAAAAGCCACAACTCGTCGAAAGCAAGTGTCGTTGGTCTCTACTTTTTTGCACAAGTAAATTGAGCAAAGCTTCCTTGGTACGCCGAGTGCTGCATCTTTGTGCGTTTGCACGCTTGGATACCGATCAAGAATCGACACCGCATCGAAGTTCTGAAGGTGTGTCGCTCGTAGGTGCCTTTAGATCAGTGGTTCTCAACCATTGATGTTTCGCGGACCCCTTGTGGATCGGCGGAGATGATGGAGGACCCCGTTCGGGGTGAGGGGAGGGGGAAGGTATAGGGTAACTATAATAATAATTGAATAAATATATTTCAGTAAGGGCTTGTGTAAAGTAGACCTTTCTTACTGGCATGCACACGAGGAAACTCGCCCAAAAACTGAAACATTTCTTCTCGACCTGGAAAAAAAACTTTTATTGCCGGGCTTGACTGATGAATGCGAACCCCTAGAATGCCTTCGAGGGTCCGCGAAGGGGGGCGAAGGCGGGTCAAATGGGGGTTCGCGGACCCTAAAGGGTCCGTCTCCCCCATTTGGGACCCTTTAGGGTCTCAAATGGGGGTCCGCGAACCCCCATTTGAGAACTACTGCTTTAGATCATATATATATCAGCCACGGAGTTCTGGATCGTCCAGCGGCTTCCAGGAGTTGCTATCAATAAAGGGGGGGGGGTGGATTTGCAATTGCTCCTATGTACTATTAACCATGGCTGTGTTCCAAATCTGCTCTAATGGATTTTGTGGGAGCATGAATAGGGCAACGTTGTGGAGCAAGGAGGATTTTCGAAGGCAAAAGTACAAGACGGCGAGAATGAAAATCTTTCAAGTGCGGCCGATATGGTCGTATGCAATCTGTTGACCAATTACAATTAGGCGAGCCACGCTCAAACGTCAAGTGCAATTAAGTAGGTTGATAATGAGCCAGCACTGATCAGTGATGAGGAGCTGTTGTGCACGGTATTGTGTAAATCATCTAAGGACGAAAAAAAAGACGTACCTGGCCCCCCTCTTCTATCGCCAGTGGATGCTGGATTAATCTCGTTTCTGGACCACAAGGGCCGCAAGTATACAGTCGTCAGAGTAAAGTGAGACACTGATTCAGAGGCACATACGGCTTCACGCACATTGCACTCGCAAAACACATTCACATGACGTCGGTTCTTGGTCAGTATCCAAGCGTGCGAAGACACAGAGGCAGCACTTCGGCGTGCCAAGGGAGCTTTAATCCTGCCGCGAGACCGGCAAAACTTGCTTTCAACGAGTTGTGCCTTTTTCCTGCGACACTGCGCTTTCGTAAAATTTTCCACGTGTTCACAACGGCGAGTCTCCACGGTACGCAGAGTCTTAAAAGCTTCTTCGGCGAATGACGACGAACGAGTAGAAAACGTGTCTATAGCATGCTGGCAAACAGCAGCAAAAGTCTAGCAAAACCGCAAATCCTATCCGAGCAAGATGGCCGTCCGGTGGCTTCACTTGCGCTGCAGAGAACAAGTAGGGAGGGCGCGATCCACCAATTGTCAGTGAGATCAGGAAAATGACGAGCACTGACTACATTTTTTCCCTCAGAGGCTGACTGCCAGCGACTCACGCTCTCTCCAGACGTGACAAAATTCACGCATGTGCATTAATGTTCCCCCCACCTTTCCCCTACAGGACATTGTCAGCACTTAATTTTTTTCTACGGAATAAATTCAGGTCGGACTCTTTTTGAACGCCCCTCGTGTAGTGCTGATTACCTCATCTGGGGAATCTTTAAACCCGGGCAGCATTGAGCTACACTTTCAATCACACAAAGGTGGCTGCAATTCTCAAGCAAATGGCCGACGAACATATTGGCAATGTTTCCAGTGGCCTAATAATTTGTAGGCAATATCCACTTTTATTCAGTTATGCTTCAGTAGCATAGTTGTTACTTTATTTTGTTTTAATTAGGGCAGAACAATTTAGTAGACTTTCACAAAGCTTAAGCTCCATTAACCGTTGTGCTTTCAACCTTGTAGGTTTGGCAGGTTTTAAAGTGCGGGGAAGAGATAAATTGAAATAGAATTTGAAAACAATTTGCAGTCTGGAAGATTGAAGGTAGAATATATGGTGCTTATGAGGAAGATGAACTAAGCTGATTAGGGAGAACAGGAGGGCAGCTGCTATTGTCTGCTTTGGACACTTATGATTAGGAGGCTGCAACAAAAATGTGGCATCTGTAGAGTAGAGATGAAGAGTTCCATGGGCCCACTTGTGCAAATGGAATATAACTTATTTACCATCATGCTAATTAGCTGCTGGTTATTTGTTTGTTTTTAAGATTTACCATGCTGGCTTTGACACTGATGTCGACATGACCGAAGATGTTGTTCTGGAGAACAGAGCACGCATCAAGATCAGGATGGACGAGGCACAGTTCAGGTGGGTTAAAATGCTCACCAAGACTGAAGCGATGAGGTCTAGTTTGCTCAAGCCATGATGCTCATGGCAGGGCTAGTTTTAAAAGAGCTTGCCAAGGAGAGGCATGTTTGACCTCTGAAAAGCAGTGGAAGGTGGGATTATGAAGGAAACATTAGCACATGTTTTCATATGCTCTGCACAGCACGTGCACATTCTGAAGCTGTCGGGGTTTTCAATGGTTATGTGAGACATCTCCAAGCGGGTTGATAGACTTCTGCTACAAATTATACTTGTTAGAATTTTCAGGCCATCAGACATAATTATTTCAGATGAGATTTAATCCTTTATGCTAAAATGTTTGAGTGGAGGCTTTCAGGGGCATTTTTATGAGCTGGATTGGTGCATATACCAATTATGCTCGGGGACAACTCAAGAACGCATGGCAAGGGGAGAAAGAAAGAGCACAATGAAGGCCAAAGGGGAGAGGAGGTTTCTCCTCTGCCTTCAGCTTTCCGTGTGCTTTCTCTTTCTTCCCGCGTCCTGCATTCCTAGTTGTCCCCGAGTATAGGTATCTATTTTGACAATATGGCTTATATGTTCATCATTGTGGCATATCTAGGGTCATGGATGTCGTCAATCAGGAAGAACATGGTCCATCTAGAGCTCCGCTGAGGGACCTGTCGGAGTACAGGTTCCCCCAAGTTCCGCTGGACATCAAGCAATCATTGGCAAAGCACAAGAAGGGACTCAACCTGAAATCCAGGAATCGCATAATTCAGTGGTTGTACCACGATTTATGCCAGTACACTCTGTAAGTTAATTTTGAGCTGAATTGACTTTCTTTCTATAAGAGCCCCCAAAACTAACTTAGAGAGAATTCTACTGGTCGTTTTGGTGCGCGCCGAGATTTCCTCGTCTTGACAGTGCCTGTTACACTGGGTGATGGGAGGGGTAGTGGTCCTGAATGAATTGTGTGCGCCGTCAGGTTTGTTCCAAGGGCACCAGTAGTGCCAATGTCTGGCACTTTTTTTCCGTGAATGATAACTGATGTTCCTCAGCAATTTCGTCTGCTCTTTTTCCTACAGGTATCCAGACAAGCTGTATGCAGAGGCTGCCAAGGGGCTTATTAGAAATTTCCCCGTCCTGGAGGACACCACAGGAACCAAATGCGTGAGTGAATAAATATTGTAATGGGTTGCTTGCTGGGCTGGTTGGTTGAATGACATAGTGAAAAACAGTGCAAACAAAATACTAGACACTAAGTAGAAGATGGACACAGGACATACTCTGACTAGCAAAAGTCAAATTTGGGGGTTTTACGTGCCAAACCTACGACGGGCATCTGGCACGCCCCAGCGGAGGGCTGAGGATTAATTTGGACCACCTGGGGATCTTTTGACGTGCAACCGAAAGCTCGGTTACACGGCGCCTCCTCTGCAATAAGCCTCCGTCATATTGCGGGCACCTCGGTCGGTATTCGAACCCGCCACCTGGGGTACATTGACTAGCAATTGAAGGTTTACTGGAACTTTCACGCGAGCACAGTGGCCCGTGCAAGTACATGCTCTAATTCTTCTTTCGACAGAGGTAAATGTGAATAAAGAAAGAAGAAAATTTGAAAAAAGAATGTGAGAAGAGAAGAAAAATCTACAGCGGCACAAGAAAACCTTAGGCCCAAATGATGCATTTGCACCACAGTTAGGACCATATTGGGACGTTGTGAAACACCCCGATATGGTCCTAAAATTAATAAAAAAAGACTTGTAGAACTTTTTTTTTTTTTTTTTTACAATGGCATGGAACCCAATAAGCTCATGGACTGTGTTCACACCGCGTTCAGGACGCATTTTTTACCTTTACGGATTGCGTGTGACACTATACTAAGGACGTTCACAATTGAAAAATTGTAGTTCCCTGTTTGTCAGATGCACTGACGCGACACTGATACAGTGATCGTGTTCTGGTCTACAGGCAAGCATTCATGCCGCTTCCATGATCTCTCTCTCCAGCTTGCCCCTCTTGCATCCCACCACCCGGGTGTTGTCCAACGCAGGGGAACGCCCATACTCCCTCCCGTGTATAGGTATATGTGAACTGTGGCCACTGCCAAGCGAGGCCGCTTGCACGTGCAGTCACTCGTTCAAACAATGACTGGTCTTTCCAAAGTAGACCCTACCACAGCTCAAAGGAATCTCGTAGACGACCTCCTTGACACAAGGCACAAACTGCTTGGCATGCCTTGTATCAGAAGAACCATTCTTAGGTTTGGTCTTGCTTGACATCACGCACAGTGGACAGCTTGCAGGAGGCCGTGAAGGCAACGTTGACGTTGAATTTCGCTCTTACGTGCTTCAGATTATGCAAGATTCTGTGAACATAGGGCAGCACTTCAAACTTGTTTAGCCTTTTAATAGTTGCTGTGTCGGGATTTTTCATCATCTTAAGCAGGGATTCAGCCACCCCTCTCACCAGGAAGGAAGGAAAACCCGAAAGTTCCAGGCAAAGTAGCTGACGGTCGAAGCTCTCACGTACAGCGTGGGCGCAGGACTTTTGTAAAGCCGAGCGAAGGCATAGGTTGGCGATACCCAATTTTACTAATTTAGAGTGCCCCGAGTTTAAAAGTTAAAATGGTCTTTTTGGTTTGCGGCGAGCACATCCAACAGATGTGATCAGAACCATTGAAGGACAAACGTAAATCCAAGAACTGCAAGAAACAGTCCACCGGCAACTCTAGCGCGAAACGTAAGTGGCTCGAGCACCGTACGAAAACTTGTCAAACAGACTGAGTGAATGAGTCCAGGCGAGTTGCAGAGGGTATGCTAACGAATACGACCAAGTCATCCACATATGTGCAGATCTTAACAACAGGGACGTTGGTTCCTGTTATTAAGTTCGACCGCATTGTTTCACATGCTTTGACTGACGTCCCTGTTGTTAAGATCTGTAGATATGTGGATGACTTGGTCGTATTCGTTAGCATACCCTCTACAACTCGCCTGGACTCAGTCGCTCGGTCTGTTTGACAAGTTTTTGAACGGTGCTCGAGCCACTTACGTTTGACGCTGGAGTTGCTGGCGGATTGTTTCTTGCAGTTCTTGGGCTTACGTTTGTCCTTCAATGGTTCCGATCACATCTGTTAGATGTGCTCGCCGCGAACCAAAAAGACGATTTTAACCTTTTGACTCTGGGCACTCTAAACTAGAAAAATGGGGTATCGCCAACCTATGCCTCTGCTCGGCTTTACAGAAGTCCTATGCTCACGCCGTACGTGAGAACTTCGACCGTCAGCTACTTTGCCTGGAACTTTAGGGTTTTTCTTCCTTTCTGCTGAGAGGAGTGACTGAATCCCCGCTTAAGTAGATGAAAAATCCCGACATGGCAACTAGGAAAAGGCTAAACAAGTTTGAGGTGCTGCCCTATGTTCACAGAATCTCGCATAATCTGAAGCATGTAAGAGCGAAATTCAACATCGACGTTGTCTTCACGGCCCCTTGCAAGCTGTCCAAACTGTGCGTGAGGTCAAGCGGGACCAAACCTAGGAATGGTTGTTCTGATACAAGGCATGCCAAGCAGTTTGAGCCTTGTATCAAGGGGTCGTCTACGAGATTCCTCTGAGCTGTGGTAGGGTCTACTTTGGAAAGACCGGTCATTGTTTGAACGAGTGACTGCACGTGCACGCAGCTCGCTCGGCAGTGGCCATGTTTCACATTTACCTATACACTGGAGGGAGTATGGGCGTGTTCCCCTGCGTTGGACAACACCCGGGTGGTGGGATGCCAGAGGAGCAAGCTGGAGAGAGAGATCAAGGAAGCGGCACATATACTTGCCTGTAGACCAGATCACGATCACTGCATCAGTGTCGCGTCAGTGCATCTGACAAACAGGGAACTACAATTGCTCAGTTGTGAAGGTCTTTGCTATAGTGTCCTGAACGCGGTGTGAACACAGCCCATGAGCTTATTGTGTTCTCGTGCCATTGTAAAAAGAAATAAAAAATTGTACAATTTTTTTTGTTGCACGTTTCACAACCTCCCGATATGGTTAGAATCGTGGTGCGATCGCATGATTCAGGCCAAAAATTTTCTTGTTCCGCTGTAGATTTTTATTGTCTTCTCATACTATTTTTCCAATTTTTTTTTTTGTTTGCATTTTTTGGGTTGAAGGAAAAAGAAGAGCATGTACTTGCGCGTGTCACTGTGCCCGCGTGGAAGTTCCAGTAAACCTTCGGTTGTTAGTCAGCGTATGCCCTGTGTCTGTCTTCTACTTTGTGTCCCGCCTTTTTTATGCTGTTTTTCACTATGTTGAATGAATACTATTTTATTTGAATGTATTAGCTTTTTCACGACTCCATTGAACTTTACACATCTCCAGCTCACTGCTCGCCCTCTTGCAGCGGAAACAGGAAGCACTCTAGCAAGTGTCCTCCGGCTGCTCCGCCCGCAACCAAGGCGTATTTGTTTGGGACCTTGTCTTGCACCGAACCATTTCTGAATGTAAATCGCATTATTGGTTGCTGTGTTCCAAGGTGAACGAAACGTGCCTAGTGACTGGAATGCAAAAGGATATGCATTCTTCAAATATGAAGGGCTCTGGCCAATGGAACAAATACTGCTTACATGGAATTTTTCAATCTTTTTATCCTCTTTCGACCTAAATGCGAGAGAAAGTGCCATACTTATATTCATTAAGTTCATCAACAAGCGGAAAAAAAACAAGCCATGCAGCAGTGAGTGTGGTGACAAAATGTTTTTTTTTACGGGTCCATTGTTTTTAGCGCTTTTCCCCTCGGAAGTATGGATCACCACCTAGCCCAAGTGCATACCCTTCGACAAAACAACTCGTGGGCTCCAAAACTATCTCTATTGTTGTCATTCCTCTTTTCAGTTGAATCAAGTGGTGTGCGGAACATGTGTAGGTTTGAAAGAAACAGTCCTGAAAATAAATTGCGGAATTTCTCACATTTGAAAATTGCAAGGTATAGATTTATTATCAATGTCTTGATATTCATAATACCAAGGTATTGATAAGGATAGTCCCAATTTCCTGGAGATTGATAGCAGTCCAGAGAATAAAAATTATTTTAAATTATAGTAATAGGTGGAGTTTTTCATAAGTTCTGTACCTCCATCTATTACATTGCAGGATGTGGTGCTCCCAGCCGATGGAGAGGACACAGAAATCTTTTGAGTTCGTCGTACAGTAGCAAAATCGTTCGCGGTTTGTGGTGATACAGTTTAACTTTCACCAAACGTTCACTTGTGCGAGGCAGTTTTCAAAAATATCCATCTAAACTTGTTGTCTTCATATATTGTTCACACAATCTGTAATCACCAGTCTGACATTTTTAATTCCAGGAGATTATTTCAACACAATGTTAAGGATGAACCACCTCCGCCATTGTTTTTCTTTTGTTTAATAGGGAGTTGTTTATCAATAGCATGACGTACGCAGCGAATCCAAAACTACAGTGAAACCCGTTTAGAACGAACCCACGTACAGCGAGTTATTGTCAATATCTAGCTCACGAAAAATTTAAATAAAAATGCACGTAAAAAGTACTTCTTATAACGAACAACAGATTGGCTATATATAGGGTTCCGCGTTTTCGGTTTCTATTTTTTTCAAAATTCGGCATACTTTTTTTGGTGTTTATTTTAAAATTGAATTTTCGTTTTTTTTCGGCGTATACCTCTGCCTAAAAAGTTTATCGTTTCTTTTCGGCAAGTATAAAATAAACACCAACGGACACCGGATCCGATGATCCTTGTACGTAGCTCTGATATTTGTGATCACTCAAAGAATAACGGCACAGATACAGTGAAAGAGAAATGGACCCTTTATTTGGCAAATGTGTGCAACTGTGAAAGAAACAAGGAAAAAAAACAACACAGAAGTACAAACAAGTCAGATATGAAGCCTATGCCCAAAAAACATGAAACTTCCTTCACCTTCTGTACATCAGGATTATGTGATCTTATTATAGTACACGCACATGTACTTTCCCAGGTCCTCCTCCTTGATCTGCACTCTTTGTTGTTTGGTAATATGACCCTGAGCTTCGAGAATGCACTCTCAACGCTGACACTGGCAGGCTGAGGAGATGAACCGCTGCCTGAGCCAAAATTGGACAATGAACCGATTGTGACCTTCAAAAGAGACACGGTGCGACGTTTTGAGGCACAACACAACATGCAGAGCTAGCATCAAGTCAGTCTACCTTACAACGAGTTTGGAAACACGTTCGTGCATGGCGAAGTCATGGGGCATTTCGTAATTCATGTTCCAATCGATGATGCGCACATTAAACCAAAACATTGTGATGACATTCGTGTATCCCATACATCTGGACACGTTTCGATAGACACTGTCACTCCACTTTCTCGCCACGGCTCTGCGGTTCGACTGACCTTTTCCGGTTAAAACTGAATTTTAGAAAATGGATTCGGCATACTTTTATAGTTTTAAACTGAAAACTCCGAACCCTAGCTATATCAAACTTTTCCCTCCAGGAAGGCTCCCAAAAACGCGCAAACAATCGTCTTCTAGCCTCTTCCTCCCCCCTCCCCAAACAAAAATAAAAAAAAGTAGGAAAGAAAGTTCCTAAAGCTCAAGCCCCGAACAAAGTTGAGCGAAGTGAAGCAATTCAGAAGGAGAGAAAGCTAAAAAAAAACAAAAAAACTGCACGCACGCAGAGAAAAAAAAATATTTTCAGCCCAAAGCGGTTGCCCACGAAGAGAAGCGATTCAGAAGAAAAGATAAGGTAAAAAAAATCTAATCGCATGCAAAGAAAAAAGAAAAAATTCAACGCGTCGTTACAAGGCAGAAGCGAAAAGATGAGAAAGAGAGAGAAGCTCTCGCCTTATAACGAACGCATTGTGGAAGTTCGTTGTAAATGGTTTTTGCTATATTGAACTACTTGCTATATCAAACTTGTTGTATCGTTTCCTGCTGTTCGTTATACACGGGTTTGACTGTATTGGTGGTCTTGGAGGCATAGGCGTGATGAGAAAGGGAAAAATTTTGTTCCTTGCGGACAATTATAATGCAGGTAACAGTGCAAAAGTTTGTTTTTCAACAATTCGAAGCTTCGCCATTTCGCTCCTTGCGTACACGATAGCATAGAGCAGGGGTGGCCAGGTTGGCAGCCTAAGAGCCGCAAACAAAACCTCGAAACTTCCAAGAACCGCGGGGGAGGGGAGAGGCTATATTTTGTTTAGAGCAATAAACGAAACTCAAACTACTTTCAATCTATCCGAGTCAAAAGCAGTCTAGCTGTACGTAAGGTAGGAGTAGCACAATACTACCAAACTGCAACCTGTCTTTCGATTTAAAACGCGTTCAATATCTTTTTGGGGAGAAGTGCTCGTGTGACCGAAAGGGAGGCAGGAAAGTGGCAGGGGGGGGGGGGGGGGGAGCCGCGAGCCACATTTTAACACGCGAAGAGCCGCAGCTTGGCCACCCCTTGCATAGAATCTCGCCTCGTCCACCGCGCTCCACCACATGGCCACATCAGTTGGCTGAGCAAGGAGCCTTAACGTGGCACCACTGTGTTGTCGCATGCTTCAAAAAGAGAGGGATCCAGATCACAAAATACCAGAAGCAGTATAGGATCTTAGAAGCTGTCAACAGGATCACTCTGCGCTCGTTGGCAATAAGGCAAATATAGCAACGTAAGGGCCGATCGCTGATTTTTTCCCACATGGGAACATGTGCCCTTGTTTGTCTAGTTCTACCTCCTAGAAGCGGTATTACTTTGTGTCGCCTAGTAAACCCAGAATACCAGCAAATCTCGGCAACTGCACCCACCTAGCATCTCCAACCCTCCCTATGTCCACCATTTTGGAAATCGGTGGCGCCACCTATAGACCGTTCAATTAGGGTCATAGCAGAGACGGTAATAGAGAGAGAAAATGCCCTCCCCCTCTCATCCCGCATGACGTCTGCTCCGCCGAGTGGGCTGTACCTATCATCCGGCTGGCATGCAAACTCTGTTTAAAATAGCGTCATTTTGGAAATTTAAAGTGCAGATGCGCAGATTTTGGTTTGCCAGTTATCGTGTAATACTATGCTAGATAAAAAGACTAACAGGGTCAAACTGCACTGTTACCTATGTGCAAATAAAAAAAAAAAGGAAAACTGTGTCAGATTAGCCGGTCTCTGGCGAAAAGTAAATCCGGTTGCTGTACCTTTTTTACTATACAAAGTTCGTACTGTTGTAGGCCTTTAACGGCCATGAGTGGAAGTCCGAAATGATAAATAAAAACATGCTCTCCTGCCGCAATACACGGAGTAGTTGAAGGTAGTACTGCCGGCTTACTCAACTGCTATTTAAGTAACAGAAAAAAGATATGCTAGTTGATCATTTACCAAAATAGAACCACATAGAGCCATAGGCTGATTTTGTAGTAGCCATAACTATTCTAAGAATGCGAACCACTTCACAACAGCAGCCACGAGCGAGAGTTTGATGTTCCGTACAGCCCGCTGGTACAGCCCAAAGATGGAGAATGGCAACCTCCCGGTTTGTCATCTGCTAGCGGAGTCGGGCACGTGCCCTCTCTCTCATTTTACCCCGCCTAACCTGCTGAATTTCCCGGATGTATGGAGAGGGCGCTCCTGTGGAACAAAATGGTGCTGCCCAGAGAGTGCTAAATGGAATGGTCTATATAGTTGGAGTCCCGAATGGAGGGCGCGGTAGTCGGCGAAAATGGCAGACGAAAGGAGGCCTGTTATACAGTTTCGGTTTCAAGTTTTAGCGTGAACCATGTGTGCTGTATATTTTAAGTTTATTTTATTATTGTTTTTTCAGCACTATTATTTCTGCAGCTGTTTGAGATTCTTTTTTTGCTTGTGCACGCAGGACTCTTGGCACGTTGCCTTGCGTTTCAAAGCAAAACGGGAGCGCAAGAAGCTCCGGGATCAGGAGCGAGCTGCGGAAGAGGGCGAGGAAGAGGCACCAGCGCGACCGAAGCAGCAGAGGGTGCCGAGGACTCCTTGCCCAAAACGCGTGATCAGGCCTGGCACGGTATGAAGGATTGTTTGAGAAATATTATTTTAAATTATATTATCAAGTGAAGTTTGACACAAATTCTGTACTTCCATTAATTATATTGCAGAATGTGGTGCTCCCAGCGGATGGAGAGGACAGAGAAAGCGTGGACGGCCATGTGCTAGAAATGCAAAGAGAACTCTGCAAAACCAGGCCCAACATGGTTTATGTGGCCGACGCCATGGCGAGAACGTTCGCCTCACGGCGACTCTGGGTGACGACGGAGCACCCGACTGTCGCCGCTGTCCTCTCTATGTACCCAGCGTATCAGCTTGGTACCATCGTGAGTACTATTGAGATTGAAAACTTGGGTGCCAGAGAGGAAGAGTGCCATTGTGTTGACTGTATTTGGTTTGCTTTGGTCCTCTAGCTGCAGCAGGAGTTCACTGCTGCTACAGGAAAATCAATCCAGGACAGCCTCACAGCCGCCCTGGCAAGGAGCAGCCTCCGGATCCTGGAGGCTGCTAGAGGGAAACGCCATCTCGGCGAATTTTTTGAAGACCTGGACCGCAGGATTGCCATGGACGACGACGGTCCATCTGATGGTAGGAATTGATCAAAGTAGTCAAGGTGGACAGAAGGGATATGGATTGCAGGAAACTGCAGTGCTCAATGTCGCTACGTGCGAGTTTTAAGAACGAAGAAGAGGAATACTGATTGGTCTACACAATTCTGCTACCTGAGGCCAGATTTACAAAAAAAATGTCTTATATTACGACATCTTAGCTAAGAAATTTGTAAGTTACGAGCATTGTAAGAGGCGAAATCGGTATTCACAGACGCATTCTTAGGGGAGAGGAGGAAGGCGCCGTTTTCGTTCAGGAAAACTACAACTTCCGGCATCTCGCCAGTCTCTGAACACCGCAAGAGCAGACTGTTGCTATGGTGATGGCATCTTGAGCGTCCCAAACAGCCAATCAGGAGGCTTACCGTGCTGGTGCAGACAAGCATTTCGAGAAAAACAGAGGCGGCGCCAGTCGCGGCATGCTCGTCTCATTATGCTTGTTTGTTTACTGTGCTCATGCAGTATGATGCCGGTACCTACCGAAGGGGAAACGGTCTCGAATGTTCAGTTTTATCGAGGCCAAGAAAAGATTTGTCACTGGCGCCATCAAATGACATTAAAGCAAAAGGAGACGGGCCGCATTTGCTTACTTAGTCATGCGCAAGGAAACAAATTTTCACATAGTTTTTCAAGAACTCGTGGATCTAAAAGGACGTAGGCGATATTGAAAAAGGGACTGCATCACGATCATCTGGTGGGCTAGTTGGTTAATCATATTGTTGAATTAACAGCGCAAATACGACAGGAAGGAGAGATAAGGGAGACAGGATGGAGCGCTGAACTAACAACTGACGTTTAATAAAAAGAGAAAGAGGATGAAGAACCGAAGAATGCTTTTAAAACATGCATAATGAAAACCTGCAAAAACATATGCTATAGCTTGAGTTGCCTGAAAATGAATTGCTAAGAATACCAAGCTTTAAGCTGGTCGCTTAAATGACTTGTTGAAATCGATTGAGTCCTGGGACGACGTGAATAGAAATTCCGGTAGAAAAAAGAAAGAGGAAGTTTACGTTTAAAATATTCACTGAATCTAAGGACCGTTAAAGATCGCGACTTAAAAAGTAAAGTTCTTTTTGTGACAAGGCCACGGACGGCGCGCTTACGCAGGCATCCCCACAGGACAGAATAACCTGTGCCTCGTAGAGCTCGCAAGTTCGTCGTTCCCCTAAACGTTTCAGGATTTTTTTTTTCCTGAACAAGGCGGAGCACTGGCAGTCCCTGACATGTATAACAAAGTGGCCTGATGGCGACGAATTTAGTGACACGGCATGTTCTCTTAGACAATCGTTGACACACCTTCCTGTCTGACCCACATACACTTTCCCACAAGTAAACGGTACTTCGTAAACGACCGCACATTGGCATTCGACGTATCTTTGTTGATGTCGAACTCCGCGAGTTCGACATCAACAAACGGTACTTCGTAAACGACCGCACATTGGCATTCGACGTATCTTTGTTGATGTCGAACTCCGCGAGTTCAACATCAACAAAGATACGTCGAATGCCAATGTGCGGTCGTTTACGAAGTACCGTTTACTTGTGGGAAAGTGTATGTGGGTCAGACAGGAAGGTGTGTCAACGATCGTCTAAGAGAACATGCCGTGTCACTAAAGTCGTCGCCATCAGGCCACTTTGCCATACATGTCAGGGACTGCCAGTGCTCCGCCTTGTTCAGGAAAACAAAAATCCTGAAACGTTTAGGGGAACGACGAACTCGCGAGCTCTACGAGGCACAGGTTATTCTGTCCTGTGGGGATGCCTGCGTAAGCGCGCCGTCCGTGGCCTTGTCACAAAAAGAACTTTACTTTTTAAGTCGCGATCTTTAACGGTCCTTAGATTCGGTGAATATTTTAAACGTAAACTTCCTCTTTCTTTTTTCTACCTTAATTTCTATTCACGTCGTCCCAGGACTCAATCGATTTCAACAAGTCATTGAAGCGACAAGCTTAAAGCTAGGTATTCTTAGCAATTCATTTTCAGGCAACTCAAACCATAGCATATGTTTTTGCGGGTTTTCATTATGCATGTTTTAAAAGCATTCTTCGGTTCTTGATCCTCTTTCTCTTTTTATTAAACGTCAGTTGTTAGTTCAGCGCTCTATCCTGTCTCCCTTATCTCTCCTTCCTGTCGTATTTGCGCTGTTAATTCAACAATTTGAAAAAGGGAGTCGCGCAAAATGCTCACAAATCTGCCCACCAGACATAACATGGATTGTGGAGTCGTAACGCAAGGATGAATGCTCGACCTGCCTGCCCGTTTCTACATACTACATGCTTCAAAAGAAATCTGTACGGCATTTATTTGAGCTCTATGTCGAATGAAACGACGCTTCCAATGTGCTGGACCCTAATACCACTTTGCGAATGCGTCCACTACCAACACACATTACCCGGGACGCCACCGCAGTCCACCTTTTTAGAAAATCACTACCGAGCGATGGAGGGGACACTTCTAATCACCAAATCAATATCACGCTATCCATACGAGAACGGTCCACCAGGTCCGCTCAAGAGTCATACGGGCGGCCCCTTCCACTGATTCACTATGGCGCGTCTAGCCGTCTCACCCTTCTAGGCCTTGTAGGACAAATTTGGTTGCTAGGCTGAATCCTGAGCTATGTCCTGAGAGCGTATTTTTGCATCCTCCTTTCTCTTCTCTTGCTGCTTGAAACCGGAACGCACGATAACATGCAAAACAAATGGCCCTCGCTTGTACCTTAAACTCTTCGGTTGTCGCGGGATCACGGCAAGGTATCCAATTGACGTGCAGCCATGTTGACTAAAAAGTTAGTAAGACACCTTGGAGGTTGTTGTAGGACTTCATCGCACATCACACAAATTTTACGACAATTTTGTTTGGTGAATACGGATTTGTTCTCAAGTTTCGTTGTAGAGACTTTTTTCGTTGTGAGATCGTTTTGTGAATCCAGCCTCTGCTCTTATTGGAATTTCAGCTAAGCCGATCTACTTGGCCTTAGATTTTTCATTGAGTCACCCGTATCTTGTGATAAAAATCCCCTCAAGCTACAGCCAGCTTATGCAACCATTCAATCACTGTCATATTTGAGTCTGTGCCATATTGTGACAGGATGGATGCAAATGCAACAGCACTGGTTTTATACCGCTCCCTGAAATTTCTCTGGAGCGTGCTGCAGAGCCATTCAAATTCAAGTGTCGAGTAACAGGTACCAGCCGTCCCGAGTCTTTTAAGTTTTCTGCCCGTCTCCCGGCAGCAGCCAAACTGGCCAGGCTCCAATTCAAGTAGTCCAACGCACCCGCCTTAACGGACCTAATCAACAAGTTGTAAATATGCCATATCTCTTGGATTTGCAAGCCAGCAAACATTTTCAGTTTGGAGACTGGGCAACGACTACGCGACCTACCTGTCTGAATTTTTCATGCTACAATCTTACCTTTGCGAGCATTCTAAAACTTTGTTCTGAAAGCTCTTGGTTGGTCAGTTCAGCATCTAAATCAAGGCTGTACTATCAGATTTAATGCAGTCACTCATGTACACTTCTCACACTGGCAATACATTTATCTTGCCACCACATCGTCCAGCATTATGAAAATGACATTCACTTTCCTCCGGTGATTGGTGTTACATTTTGTATTCAACATATTTTTGTCATATTGATGGCCTTTAAAGGGATACTTCAACGAAATTTGAAATATTCCCGTCGTGTTCAAAAATAGGTTGAATATGATCCACAATATCCGTAAATGACAATCGCACGTTTGTATTTTGATCCTGGTGGCTGTATTTTTCGTTATAAACGGCCCACTCTGGCAAGCGCTCGGAGAAGGCCCAGCTTAGAGCACGTGACATCCAATGCAATCGTGACGTAGGTCGTCTCAGGACGAGCAAAGCTACGGCGAGGCTGACGTCGAGAGGATGGCCTAGTCGTTCCAGCCACCGAAGCGGCTGCTTTTGTACGAATTTTGAGTGACGGGTTAATCTTCTATAATCTTCTAGGGGGACAATAGCGACTTCTGCGACACACAAAAGGGATTCTCGAGAAGAGGGGAGTTCCTCCTGCCCCCCTTCTCTCGTCGTGGCCGGAGTCGAGACAACCTCTGTCACTAGCTGTCAAGGTTCCTAGACGAGCATTAGAAATGAGGCGTTAGCGACATCCACCAGGTGCTCATTGCTAATCGTTTAATTCGTTTTAAAATTCCTTTTCGAGACTTTTTTAACAAGATATTGGTATGTTCCATGTGATACTGCTCTTTTGAACACATATAGACAAAAAAATGAGCGCCGAAATTTCGTTGTAGTATCCCTTTAAAAGTAGGTTTCTTACGGCAGCTACTGACAACATCCAGTACATCTTAACTTTTACGAAAAAGCACAAAAAAAGCTTCCAGTGCGGCAAAGCAAATGGAACAAAATTTTGTCTCTTAGGATGGCACATGGAAAGGCTTACTTGTGGTTTTGGGGAGCATGGGACCATGAGGAGTGGAGCAATTCACGTGACTTCCAGCGTTCTAACCACAAAATCTTTTTTTTTTTTTTTTGGTGTAGACATTTGCAGAGCGCTAGTGATTGCACTTCTGGTTATCATCTTTTGGAAAGGTGTGGCACCCCACCATACTGCATGAGTGCCTTGGTTTCGATTTGATCTATTTGTTATAAAAATATATATGTAACTGCAGTGAAAACTTTGATATGCAATGTCCTGACATGAGGGTTTATTGTGTCGCACAAAGAAGCGAATAGTATCTTTGGTATCTAAGCTAATATGACTGAACAGTTTTGCATTTCCACATTTCAATTTGATTGATGTGTGCACAGGAAACAGCCAGGATTTTGTAATTTAATTTTAACAAGGGAACTTTTTTACACTGTTCGACTTTCGAAATTTCTGCAGCCTCATTTCTTGTTTGATTTTGTACTAATTGTCTTTGTGGCTTTTGTTATTGCAGAAATGTTGACCAAGGCCGCACTGTGTGCACTGCCAGCTCTGGTCAAGGAAAGGAGTGTGGCATTCCTCCGGCCAAGTGTAAGTTTTGGAGACCTGCTTGCCCCTTCAACAGCAACCTTACTTCATTTTTCAATTTTGGGGATATGATGGAGTTGGTGATCATGATACACGAGATATGATTTGTTTTTCGGTAGTGTTTATAGCTTTGAAGATATCAGATGTCAAAGGTTTATGTCGGCGACACGGCAAAGCTAAAACTAGCGGCGTAGCACATTGACATCACTGATAATGAACTGCGCGTTTACGCCGTGACGTAATTGTGATCCCGTGGTAGCCACGACTGACTCCGTCACACGAGAACTTTTAAGACTAATTAAGCAGCACATTTCTTTTTTATTTTACCGCTCTGCTTCGTGTATGTGCACCAAATACAATAAGTGTTAGTGTGTATTTATAAACCTGCTGGTCTAAGAGCGAATTCGACTGTTATGAATAATAGGACGTGTTCAGTGCCAGCGCAGCGTGTGCAGCATGGCTCTATTATTTGTTAGTTGCTTGCGCACAGCAAAGAAAAAGAATAGGAGACAGATGCTGCTCACAAGCAGGTTAGCTGGCTACCTGCCATCAATCAGCGACTGTTTAGGTGCCACAAATTTTACGTATTTCAAGATGTTTCCATAGGCGTCCTACACTTATCACATACTTTAAGAATTTTCCTAGGTGTTTTGGAGTTACATAGTATGCATAGTACGTAAGTCCGAAACAATTACGACAAAGTTGAAGTAGAGCACGACACTGTTAGCGCGAACAAGTGATCGCCGGTTATTCCAGTTTTTGTCTTAGAAACCAAGTGATTTCATCAAAACTTTTTATTGCAACAGAAATAGCTTATTTAGGTCTATAATATAGGTGATAAAATTTCGTAGTCGCCAATACTCTTTCGAAGTAAAATGCAAAAATGTGCCGATGTCGTGTTCGCGCTAACAGTGTTGTGTGTATGTGAGACTCGCACAATTTCACCGATATAAACAAGCGCCGTTCGACTGTCGGCCGCAGCAACTCTAACAAGCGTACACTACTGGGGTGGCATGGCTGCGCCATTTGTGCCATTTTGCGCCAGACGCATTTGTCTGCGCCATCCTGCGCCATGTTGCAGAAACTGTGCCACAACCAATACCTTGCGCCATTATGCGCTAAATCACAAAACATGCTTCAAAAAAATAGTATTTTGTCTTGGTTTCGATTTTTATCGACTCGATTGGCAACAATGAGCGTGTTTAGCTTGGTCGGCCTTGCAATCTTTTGTACTATTTATTCTTCCTGTGTATCCCGAGTCGGAAGCGCGTGAAAAAACTCGCATTCTTAGCGCTACACAACCTGCGACTGGATTGTTATTCTTGAACCATAAGTGGTTAAGAGAGTCGGCCGAGGTGAGGTCGAGTCGTTGAGCGTCAGATTGCCGGAGGCTCTGCGGCCCAAGATCCGGACGTCAGCCAGTCGAAAACAAATGAGCAAACAATTCCTTTTAGTACTTCATTGTTAGAACTTGGAACCTGCATTCCCGCAAGATAAATCATGATTTGATAGAATTGAAATGCGGTCCGATCCGAAACCTTGCGGGCCAGCAGCCCTCACGCGAGCGGTAGATCTGCTCGGCATACTTTAACCTTGCTCATGCTTATCGCTTCAAATACGATAACTCTGTTAATCGTAGCCTGCTGCTTCGATATTGAGTTGCACAATAGGATAGACTCAAAATTCGTTGCCCTGTTCCTCCGTGCAACTGCACGTCCGTTGCTTACGCACGTCACGTGGTTCGCACATATAATTATTTTGTAGAGCACTTGTGGGTTGTGCGATAAGCAGTGCTGGTTTGCATTTTGAGCAGCTGAAAGCCACTCAGAAATTACCAACGACACTATCTTCAGAAACATATGGTACTTGCTTTTTGGTTCTCATTAGGGCTCACAAAGTTTCAAGTTTTCGCATCTGTTACAGTGTTATCCCATTTACCTAGGTCTCTAACTACTCATGTTCATTTATGCTGCTAAGCACAATTGAAATTTCTCCCGTGCTTGTCTAAGGCACAAGCTGAAGTGCAGTGAAAACTGATCTGAGTTGCTCCGAGCCTGCTCTAGAACATAGTTTTAGCTGCTCCCCAACCTCCTCCAAAACAGCTGTTTCAGCTGCTCCCAAGTACATTTTAGAAGTTCCACCCCTGCACTAGGGTGCCTTCATGAGCACACATGAAGGCACCAAGCCTTCATGTGTCTGCTTGTGAACAGCATCTGTCTCCCATTCTTCCTTCTTTTTGTTCGCGAGCAACACACAATTATACCGATACAGCCGCGCTGCACCTGCACTGCACGTGTCCTATTATTCATAGCAGTCGCTTTACAAGCGGAAACTTTATAAATACATACTAACACTTACTGCATTTGATGTTCATTTACGAAGCGGAGCAGGAAGAGAAAAAGAAATGAGCAGCTTACTCTATGTCTTGAAAATCCTCGTGCAACTAAGCCGGTCATGCGTACAGCGGGACCGCTGGATGACAATTGCGTCACAGCGTCGACGGCATCTCATTATAAGTGTTGGCAACGTGCTACGCTGCTAGTTTTGGCTTCGCCAAGTCGCCCACACGAAACTTTGACATCTGATATTTACAATACTATACACACCACCGGAAAAATTATATCTCGTGTTTCGGGGTCGCCGACTTAGTTAAATTAATTGTAACCCAGTAGTCGTAAAAATGGAATGGAGTTGCTTTTTAACAATTAGCAATGTAATTGGAACAGGACATTAATACTCTTTCATAGCTTTGAAGCCTAATATCCCGAGAGAAGACCCATCCCCTGAAATATAGCCCATCCTTATTTTCTGCATGAATCTCCATTTCTTAAGGTGGGCTAAATTTTGCACACTGAAGGTTAGCTCACCCCCTATTTTCACCTAATGTGCCCTCAGTTTTGAGTGGGCTATCTCGGGATATTGCGTTACATTCGCGATTCCAGCAAAACGGATGCCGCCAAGCACTCTGTGGCTCTCCTGTTGGGCGACTTTCGTGGCTGGATATTGCCGGTGCGGTAGCAAACAAAATGGATTGACAGGAGTCCAGAGATTTTTAGTTTGTACCTCAATGTTTACTAGCAGTTTCACAGTACTTAGCAGTGCGGTGGAGTCAAAACAGATTGTATCCTCCAATCATTTCTCCAGAAAAGCCCAAGTTTCCTAAGCGCTCTGACGACAACAAGCCGTCCCCGGCTTTGGGTTTGTGGAGCAAGAATCTGGTAAATAAAAGTTAAAAGGGCTTGCGCACCTTGTGGTGCTTTTAAAATAAAGACTACTTGCTAGTTGATAAATAATTTGTATATAAGAAAGTTAGTAAAGTGATGGACTGACACCACATCTCTAGCTTAACTCTAAATTATTTTGCGGAAGGGATCAAGGGAGTTGCAGCCAAGGGAGGGTTCGAAAATTGCTTCCCCTGAGTTTGGTTGTGATGAATTAGCTAGTATCAGGCCGGTCGACGCGCTGGCTACCCTTCTTGGTCACTTCTCGCCGCGAATGCCCCTCTAGTGCATTGAATCACTTGGGACTTGAACCAACGTCAAGTTTACCTTATATTCTGAAAAAGCTCTTCTGAGCAACCTCTTCACTTCGCCCTCTGCATACAATCACTGTTTGAGTAAAAAAGGTGGGGCAGGATTTCACAAGCTTTAAATAGTTTTCTTTTTGCGCTTAATCTTCTTATTGAAGTTTAAAACTTGATGCTGTGTATGTGTGTGTGTAAAAGAGGGGAAGGCAGTAAAACTGGTTTCTTACTGGTTACAAGACATTTTATGGCGTGAAATGAAGGCTAGGGAAGCTTACTCCAGCCTTCACTAAAAAGTTGCGGCACAGCCTGTTTCCTAATGTGCTGGCTCAATCTAAGTCTTATCGCCCGTGACGTCACGCCACTGGTAAGCACGCAGAACCTTGAATGTTGATTTTGGCATCAACTGATTATGCATTTTCTCAATAGCTATGCTGAGTTTAAAGAAACTGAGTAGCGGGCCTGGAAGAGCAAAGCCTGGGTATTTAGAATAAGTTATTAGTCTGGGTAGCTCGAAAAATTGGTGGAGTACCCTCTTAAGAATGTATTTACGTAATGTTGTATGCTTTATTTGTTGCTTTTTTGGAATTTAATATCTTTGTTAAACAAGCATATGTTTTCATGGGGAGAAAAATGTTTGTTCTGAGGAAGTGGAAATCTACAAGGTTGTAGTGATGCAAATGGATGTGCTTAATATGCAGCAGCTGCCCAAAAATTCTCTGTTAGGCTAGTTGCTTATATGTTTATTCATTATAAACACAAGCGCCAAGAGCAAAAACGAGGGAGAGTGACCACAAGCGCTTCTTTTGTGTACTTCTTTCTCTCTCATCCTCGTCCTTTCGACTTATAATGACAGCTGACCTTCTAGAGCAATAATTAAATGTAGTAGGATGGTAATGAAGGTATGCAACAGCACACATTTCACTGTGGGATGTTTTGTGTTTTGGTGTCATGGCCAGAATGCCATCTCATGTAAGGCATGTGGGGATGCAATCTGCGTGTTAATTTTATAAAATCAGTCTAAGGGCTGTAGTTAAAAAGAAAACTGCAATCTCAAGAATTTTATGAACTTCAGCGCCTCTTAACATAATTTTGTCTTGTTTCTACACTTTTTTTAGGACCCTGCAGAACTTCCAACATATCCAGCTGTGGGCTACGAAGGCAGCCGCATCTATGATGCCACCTCACTTGTTGTGTCTGTTGATGAGCGGCAAATCGCAGAACCAACTCTTCTGGCTGCAGTGAGCACAATGACTGCGCTGTATTGGGCGTTGAATATGGAATTTCCTCCAAAGGCGACCAGAACGTTTCAACTCTTGTCCCATATGATAGGAGTTGACAGTGGGCTCGTGGCCAGCCCCCTTGTGCTGATGGCAATTGGCATAATCAATGGCTAAGCTGGTGCTCAGTTTATTTCAAGAATACCTTCCACATGCTTTTCCTGGGATATTGAATAAAGCAACAAAATGTGGTACAAAAATGGGACGAGACATCTTTCCAACTGGCAGCAAACACATTTATTGCTGGTCCATCTACGACAACCATCGCAGCGGATACCCAAGGAGATAGGGGAAAGGAGGGGAGGATGAGGAGGAAGGAACATGTTTGACCCACAGCTACCGCGGTAGCCGTGGCGACAGCCTGCTTCAGAAAGATAGGTAATGATAGGCGGGGTGCGGGGGAGGGGGGAGGGGGGGGGGAAGGGAAGGGAATGAAGGAACTGACCTCGAAGTGGGATGAAGGGGGAGGCTTCTCTAAGCTTTCTAAGCTGTAGTTGTGGACAAACCAGCAAAGATGTCTCGTCCCGTTTCTGTCCCATTTTCTTGCTTTCCTCAATATCCCATAACTCGACGAGCACGCTCATTTTATCAAGTTTATGCTTTTATTGTTTTGCCAAATGTGAAATTAGAATTTTTTTTTTTTAAACGTCTGTATGCCATGTGGCAGAAGAAGTAAATGAGGATTTAAGGTATATATGAAGTCCAGTTTCCTGGAAAAGTAATACTCAATTTTTTTCGCCTTAGTTTAAAGGGAAGTGCTGCGCCATGTACTAATTGTTTAAAATGTCGAACACATGTTTATGCAAAAATAAAGCTATTCTTGTCTTGAACCACACAATGTCATTCCCAACACTGCAATATTGAGTCCATCATTAGGGGAGCTAAAAGTACTTGTGCAAGTTGGTGATGAACGTTTTGAACCATGGCTAAAAGTGCTAAAAGCATTAACACAAGAGAGAAGCTCCTTTGTTTGTATTCTCTCTTGTGTTCGTCTTTTTAGCGCTTTTAACCACGGTTCGAAACAGGGGAACATTTAGTCCCAGGAGACTAAGCATTTGGTCCCTTGGGATCATATGTAAAGGATTAAAATTTAGTCCCCGGGGACCAAATGTCTTGGATTAACATTTACTCCCACGGGTCCTAGTGCAAGGGCTCAACAGTTGGTCCTCGGGGTTCAATTGAAATGGTGCAACAGTTAGTCTCAGGGGTCCAAGTGCAAGGGCCTAACAGTTAGTCCCAGGGGTCCAAGTGCAAGGGCTTAACAGTTGGTCCTCGGGGTTCATTTGAAAGGGTGTAACAGTTAGTCCCAGGGGTCCAAGTGCAAGGGTCTAACAGTTAGTCCCAGGGGTCCAAGTGCAAGGGCCTAACAGTTAGTCCCAGGGGTCCAAGTGCAAGGGCCTAACAGTTGGTCCTGGGGGTGCTAGTGTGAGGGACTAACGGACGGGGTGCAACAGTTGCTCCCGCTACAGTTGCTCCCCTAGGGGAGCGATGGTTGTGTCAGCGTATTTGCTCCCCTAAGGGAGCAAGTCACGCTCCCTTTTTTCTTAGAGTGCACGAGCGGGTGTTCCGACGACATTCGCTTCCAAGGCCGCTCATTTCAGTGCTGCGCCGCCATTGGCTTCCAAGAGCCGCTCGAAACGGGCCTCGTGCACTGGCGCAGTTTGACGCTTCTTGCAAGACAAACGGAAAAACACATCCAGAGGTCCGCAAAGCCCCTTGGTAAAAGCATGTTTTTACAAGTACCGCCAACCATTGTTCTGAAAACGTGCAAGACATGCGCCACGAGCGGGTGTTCCGACGACATTCGCTTCGAAGGCCGCTCATTTCAGTGCTGCGCCGCCACTGGCTTCCAAGAGCCGCTCGAGACGGGCCTCGTGCACTGGCGCAGTTTGACGCTACTTGCAAGACAAACGGAAAAACACATTCAGAGGTCCGCAAAGCCCCTTGGTAAAAGCATGTTTTTACAAGTACCGCCAACCATTGTTCTGAAAACGTGCAAGACATGCGCCACGAGCGGGTGTTCCGACGACATTCGCTTCGAAGGCCGCTCATTTCAGTGCTGCGCCGCCACTGGCTTCCAAGAGCCGCTCGAGACGGGTCTCGTGCACTGGCGAGTTTGACGCTACTTGCAAGACAAACGGAAAAACACATTCAGAGGCCCGCAAAGCCCCTTGGTAAAAGCATGTTTTTACAAGTACCGCCAACCATATTTCTGAAAACGTGCAAGACATGCGCCACGAGCGGGTGTTCCGACGACATTCGCTTCGAAGGCCGCTCATTTCAGTGCTGCGCCGCCATTGGCTTCCAAGAGCCGCTCGAGACGGGCCTCGTGCACTGGCGAGTTTGACGCTACTTGCAAGACAAACGGAAAAACACATCCAGAGGTCCGCAAAGCCCCTTGATAAAAGCATGTTTTTACAAGTACCGCCAACCATTGTTCTGAAAACGTGCAAGACATGCGCCACGAGCGGGTGTTCCGACGACATTCGCTTCGAAGGCCGCTCATTTCAGTGTTGCGCCGCCATTGGCTTCCAAGAGCCGCTCGAGACGGGCCTCGTGCACTGGCGAGTTTGACGCTACTTGCAAGACAAACGGAAAAACACATCCAGAGGTCCGTAAAGCCCATTGATAAAAGCATGTTTTTACAAGTACCGCCAACCATTGTTCTGAAAACGTGCAAGACATGCGCCACGAGCGGGTGTTCCGACGACATTCGCTTCGAAGGCCGCTCATTTCAGTGCTGCGCCGCCATTGGCTTCCCCGCTCGAAACGGGCCTCGTGCACTGGCGAGTTTGACGCTACTTGCAAGACAAACGGAAAAACACATCCAGAGGTCCGCAAAGCCCCTTGATAAAAGCATGTTTTTACAAGTACCGCCAACCATTGTTCTGAAAACGTGCAAGACATGCACCACGAGCGGGTGTTCCGACGACATTCGCTTCCAAGGCCGCTCATTTCAGTGCTGCGCCGCCATTGGCTTCCAAGAGCCGCTCGAAACGGGCCTCGTGCACTGGCGCAGTTTGACGCTACTTGCAAGACAAACGGAAAAACACATCCAGAGGCCCGCAAAGCCCCTTGGTAAAAACATGTTTTTACAAGTACCGCCAACCATTGTTCTGAAAACGTGCAAGACATGCGCCACGAGCGGGTGTTCCGACGACATTCGCTTCGAAGGCCGCTCATTTCAGTGCTGCGCCGCCATTGGCTTCCAAGAGCCGCTCGAAACGGGCCTCGTGCACTGGCGCAGTTTGACGCTACTTGCAAGACAAACGGAAAAACACATCCAGAGGTCCGCAAAGCCCCTTGGTAAAAGCATGTTTTTACAAGTACCGCCAACCATTGTTCTGAAAACGTGCAAGACATGCACCACGAGCGGGTGTTCCGACGACATTCGCTTCCAAGGCCGCTCATTTCAGTGCTGCGCCGCCATTGGCTTCCAAGAGCCGCTCGAAACGGGCCTCGTGCACTGGCGCAGTTTGACGCTACTTGCAAGACAAACGGAAAAACACATCCAGAGGTCCGCAAAGCCCCTTGGTAAAAGCATGTTTTTACAAGTACCGCCAACCATTGTTCTGAAAACGTGCAAGACATGCGCCACGAGCGGGTGTTCCGACGACATTCGCTTCGAAGGCCGCTCATTTCAGTGCTGCGCCGCCACTGGCTTCCAAGAGCCGCTCGAGACGGGCCTCGTGCACTGGCGAGTTTGACGCTACTTGCAAGACAAACGGAAAAACACATCCAGAGGTCCGCAAAGCCCCTTGATAAAAGCATGTTTTTACAAGTACCGCCAACCATTGTTCTGAAAACGTGCAAGACATGCGCCACGAGCGGGTGTTCCGACGACATTCGCTTCCAAGGCCGCTTATTTCAGTGCTGCGCCGCCATTGGCTTCCAAGAGCCGCTCGAAACGGGCCTCGTGCACTGGCGCAGTTTGACGCTACTTGCAAGACAAACGGAAAAACACATTCAGAGGTCCGCAAAGCCCCTTGGTAAAAGCATGTTTTTACAAGTACCGCCAACCATTGTTCTGAAAACGTGCAAGACATGCGCCACGAGCGGGTGTTCCGACGACATTCGCTTCGAAGGCCGCTCATTTCAGTGCTGCGCCGCCACTGGCTTCCAAGAGCCGCTCGAGACGGGTCTCGTGCACTGGCGAGTTTGACGCCGTACTTGCAAGACAAACGGAAAAACACATTCAGAGGCCCGCAAAGCCCCTTGGTAAAAGCATGTTTTTACAAGTACCGCCAACCATTGTTCTGAAAACGTGCAAGACATGCGCCACGAGCGGGTGTTCCGACGACATTCGCTTCGAAGGCCGCTCATTTCAGTGCTGCGCCGCCATTGGCTTCCAAGAGCCGCTCGAGACGGGCCTCGTGCACTGGCGAGTTTGACGCTACTTGCAAGACAAACGGAAAAACACATCCAGAGGTCCGCAAAGCCCCTTGATAAAAGCATGTTTTTACAAGTACCGCCAACCATTGTTCTGAAAACGTGCAAGACATGCGCCACGAGCGGGTGTTCCGACGACATTCGCTTCCAAGGCCGCTCATTTCAGTGCTGCGCCGCCATTGGCTTCCAAGAGCCGCTCGAAACGGGCCTCGTGCACTGGCGCAGTTTGACGCTTCTTGCAAGACAAACGGAAAAACACATCCAGAGGTCCGCAAAGCCCCTTGGTAAAAGCATGTTTTTACAAGTACCGCCAACCATTGTTCTGAAAACGTGCAAGACATGCGCCACGAGCGGGTGTTCCGACGACATTCGCTTCGAAGGCCGCTCATTTCAGTGCTGCGCCGCCACTGGCTTCCAAGAGCCGCTCGAGACGGGCCTCGTGCACTGGCGCAGTTTGACGCTACTTGCAAGACAAACGGAAAAACACATTCAGAGGTCCGCAAAGCCCCTTGGTAAAAGCATGTTTTTACAAGTACCGCCAACCATTGTTCTGAAAACGTGCAAGACATGCGCCACGAGCGGGTGTTCCGACGACATTCGCTTCGAAGGCCGCTCATTTCAGTGCTGCGCCGCCACTGGCTTCCAAGAGCCGCTCGAGACGGGTCTCGTGCACTGGCGAGTTTGACGCTACTTGCAAGACAAACGGAAAAACACATTCAGAGGCCCGCAAAGCCCCTTGGTAAAAGCATGTTTTTACAAGTACCGCCAACCATATTTCTGAAAACGTGCAAGACATGCGCCACGAGCGGGTGTTCCGACGACATTCGCTTCGAAGGCCGCTCATTTCAGTGCTGCGCCGCCATTGGCTTCCAAGAGCCGCTCGAGACGGGCCTCGTGCACTGGCGAGTTTGACGCTATTTGCAAGACAAACGGAAAAACACATCCAGAGGTCCGCAAAGCCCCTTGGTAAAAGCATATTTTTACAAGTACCGCCAACCATTGTTCTGAAAACGTGCAAGACATGCGCCACGAGCGGGTGTTCCGACGACATTCGCTTCCAAGGCCGCTCATTTCAGTGCTGCGCCGCCATTGGCTTCCAAGAGCCGCTCGAGACGGGCCTCGTGCACTGGCGAGTTTGACGCTACTTGCAAGACAAACGGAAAAACACATCCAGAGGTCCGCAAAGCCCCTTGGTAAAAGCATGTTTTTACAAGTACCGCC